AGAATTTTTCATCGACGACAGTCGAAGTGTTTCGACGAAATTCTTGAGCATCTATTGGATCCGTTTGATCACTTTAACGAAATTAATTATTAATTTCTGGTGACGCGTCCCCTCACAACTCAAGCACTGCCCGACGAGGGGGACGGGGGCAATGAATTATGCCAAGAAATAGTAATAATAATGAATAATACTATTTATCATTATGATGATGGAACATCGATGATGTGATAGTTTATGTAGAATAATGAGATTTGACAAATCAATTTTTATGAGAGAGAAGGGAAGGAGAAATGAGGAATAATGGATTATCACATTACCGATGTTCCATTATCACGACGATAAATAGCATTTCTCGATAATAATACAAGAATTGTTGACATAGGTTTGGGTACATTGTAAGACCTTGATATTTTTAATAAAGAATACTGAGGGATTCTCAATAACTTCGTCAATTATTCAATATCCTAACGAACCAAAAAAAAAATTTGAAGAACTTTTCATATTTTTTCATACATCAGCACATCATTTCTTTTTAACAAATAAGAATACAAAAACATATTTTTAACATTTCAGCACATTACTTTTGCTACTAGACTGCTATTAAAACAGTTTATATTCATGTTTAAAACCCGATTCACGATCGAAAAAAAAAAGAAAGAAAAAAAAAGCATTCTTAATTAACAACCTCATTTCGTGAAATAAAAACTAATTTACTGATCTTTCTGGGTTTCGAACTCCGGTCCAAACACAAGTCCACCCTGAGTTCGTAATTTGTCATTGCAACTACGAACTTCGTGTGCTATCATCCCCTGCATTCTCGTCACCAAACAAGGCTCTTTAATCACCATCGTTGACTTTCCATCCATTTTCAATCACTACGAACTCCACTAGCATGATCTGTCACATGGGTCCTGGGGAAGGGGATTGAATGACACCAACAGAAGTATTCTGATTTCTCTTTCTTCGCTGTATTCTTCTCCTTGCTATGCAACCATGAACTGAAGGGGCCACATCCTCGTTTATTTTGATCATCATCAAGAAGATGAGCCGGTAGATGATCATCATGCCGAAAATGACACCGAGATTCACCCATTTTGATCGTCGCAAATTAATCTGAAAGATGTTTTCTAATATGAATTCTCCAGGAATTTTGGGAAGATCCGGCGTCTGGTTGTCAAAGACCAAGCCTTCAAGGTCGTTTCGACATCCCCCCTGAGGCATTAATACGATTCATTAACAGAACAGCACATATATTTCCACAGAGTGCAGCCATGGAGACTCATTAATATCAGTAAAGAGATTTCTACCTGTACCGCCCAATAGTGGAAACTAATGTAAGTCATTGGATAACGCCAGAAGGGCTTTGGGATGTCGTTTGGGAG